GGGGGCTGGGGGGGCTCAGCCTGGAGAAGAGGAGGCTGAGGGGAGCCCTCATCGCTCTCTGCAACTGCCTGAAAGGAGGCTGGAGCCGGGGGGGTCGGAATTTTCTCCCCAGTAACGAGTGATAGGACGAGAGGGAACGGCCTCAAGCTGCGCCAGGGCAGGGTTAGGTTGGATATTAGGTAAAACTTCTTCCCCGAAAGGGCTGTCAGGGCCTGGCCCAGGCTGCCCAGGGCAGGGGCTGAGTCCCCATCCCTGGGGGGATTTAAAAGCCGGGGAGATGTGGTGCTGAGGGCCATGGGTTAGTGCTGGGCTTGGCAGTGCTAGGTTAGCGGTTGGACTTGGCTGATCTTAAAGGTCTTTTCCAACCTAAAAGATTCTATGATTCTATTTTATCATGTGAAAAGACTTAAACATCAGAGCACATAAAAAGAATTAAGCAAGAAAAAAAGATCACTACTTTCTGGTACGTCACTTGCCTTGAAGGTTCAGGAAGTGACTGAACATTTTAAAACAAAGCTACTGAGGGGTCCTTACCACTGCTTGGCCTGGCAGCTCTGGGTTTCCTGGGGGTTAACAACCCTCAGAGCTCCACGGCTGAAACGGGAAAGTCAAACGACTCCTTCGGCAACACAAGAGGTAATTTCCCCAAGGCACAGTGTACTCAATTGCTGATGCAACAGAACATCTCTTTACAGAGCACATAAATATAGGTCTGAAATAAATAGCAAGAAATAATCATCCAGTATAAGCAATTCAAGCTACAAATGCTATCCACAACCCACTGCTTTCAAGGTCATCGATAAGCACAAACAGAGACACCCGATCACTGCCTCGGGGAAAGGAATCTGCCCTTGTCCCTGGTGGGGAAACAGCCAAAATCCCACGTCAGGGCCGCCAGCCAGCGCAGTCTGACAGGTGCTCGCTCTGTACCACACACGCCGCGGCGCTGCCGGAGGATGGGGAAAGCTCAGCGTCACCCCTTGCATCCCAGAAACCCACGGGTGCTAGAAGGGCGCTCGGGCCACACTCCCTGCCAGCCATCCAGGCAGAACGACGCCCGCAGCTGGGCCGGGCATGAGAAAGAACAGTGCCTTTTTCCACAAGTCCATCTGCAGGGGGGTGACCGTAACCTACATCTAAACCGGGAGTGTTTTGATGAAATAATCACGGATCTCATTTGCAAGAGCGCACTCCATGGGGCACTGGGCAAAGTACTCGGCATGCTCAGCAGCAGCGAACTCTAGCAGGCAGATCTTCAGCTGATGCAAAGTGATTCAGTGGAGCACAGGCTCAGGCTCTCTGGATTTTGTGTGCACATGAAAACTAATACAAGGTCTCAAGCTGATGGGTTTTTTTCCTGTAAACTAATGAAATTCAGTGGGTGATTTACCAGACACCCATATTTCAAGATTTACTAATTTGTTTCTATAATGCATTTAAGGAAAAGTGTGTCTTCTTTCACATAGGCGTATTTAGGTGACTGTAGTTTGGACAAAGGGAGGAACATGGGACAGCCACTTGCGACATTCATATCATTCACTGGTCTCTGAAATGAAGCAGAAGTCAAGTCTGGCCGAAATGCATCGATAATATGTTCCCTATTATTTTGGTCAAGCAACATAAATGTAACCTGAAAAAAAAAAAAACAATGTGGCAATGACGAGTTATTGAACTGAACAATAAACCAGGCAATGTCAGAGACAGAAGTGCCAACATGCTGCAAAAGCAGCTGGATGCTCTATCGATAATTAAATACAAAATATAATTAATGTTTCGCAACCTGCAAGGTCAGTTAATGCAAACAAGGGAGATTGTAACGGTTCCCAGATGAATTATTTAAAACCTTGCCACCCATAAAGTAAAATTAAATAAAATCAAGTAAGGAATTATTTCTTGGTAGAGAACTCCACAGTCCAAAGACTTTTTTCCTCTCTCTCCTGACAACTTAAACAAACCCCGAGTTTGGTTACAGTCATTACATTCATTCTGTTATTGTGGTTTGGAATCAAAAGAAACAGCTCAGTTGCCCGTACGCAAATATGTAAAAGACACAACCTAAATATCTGTATAAAATCTCCCCATCTCATTACCACTTTTATTAACTCACTGTTCTTTACCTTGAAATGTGAAATGAATGTAATAATTTTTTAATACAGGGAGGATTGGGAACTTCGATTTCTATTTTTTTTTTGGCCGCGAAATGGTAGTAAAGCTATTTATGTGAAAGGCTGACAGAATTATTACCACACAAAGGCAAGTGCTAGAACAGAGACCAGAACCTTGTGCACGCTTTCACTGCTTTTCCAACCATTGTTGCCATTATCAGATTGCACTTACAAAATGAGAAAAAATAAGATCAGGATCACATAAGACATCTATGGCATGTTTGTAAGTAGAACTCTAACCTCACATTTCTGACACCCGTGCTTCGGGCAGCAAATCATAATTCCCTCATAAACTGATATTATCTATGTATAGCAGAGCCAGGAAAAAGTGTGTCTCTGGCTTTCGCCCAGGCGGACACAGGTTGGGGTATATCAAACACCAGTATTCTGGTGTCTGAAAATCCTACATGGCACAGTATGGAATCTCGGTAAGAGCAGCTTGCCCTGTGTTTAAATCACTCCATTCAGAGACAAATTATTACCCAAGATGACAGTATGACTAATAGCCATCGGAGAGGAAAACGGGAAAATGCTCCAACTTCCACTAAACTTAAGAGAAACAGTCTCCTTGTGTTCGCTGGGAGAAACAGTGGGTTTATGCTAGGATCAGCTATGAAAAGGTTGCCCTTCTTACCTTGTGTCTGAAAGGCCACGGGAGCAGAGCATCATAGTCTCCTCTCATGACAACAAAGAATAAGGACATGTGGGTTCCTTTTCCTGTCCCATCCCCGTTCAGATAAACCCTCAGACAGACCTTGTAGCCATACTTTGCAGTGTAGAAAGCTGAAAATCAGAACTCTTCATTAGTAAAGCCTCCTTTGAAAAACAAGACATAAAGAGTGTTCTGACATATGGAAAAAGATAGCGTACGATGTGTTTTGCTATCACAGAGATGAGAACAGACAAATCAGTACACCCTGGAGATTATAAGCAATGAAAATCCACTGGTTGGAATCCTTTAGTGCCTCACGCCTCAGTGAAAATTACCTGTTATTAGCCACACAAGCATATTTTACCTAATCAAATTACTTCTCACAAGGGAGATAACTGCCACAGAAAGCCATTCGGTACCATCAGGCACCAAGCTGTGGGTTAAACGAGACAGATCCAGCAGATGTCACTGCAAGTAGCTGCGGCGGAGGGCAAGTTGCAAAATGAAAGCCCAGAACAGAACACAACTCTGTGGAAGAGCACATCACAGCTGCCCTGTGCAGGAGAGCGTGAGGTCTTCATAAACAGCATCTTAGTTTAAGGGGCTATTTTAAAGGACCTCCTGTCCACATGAGCAGAAAGAAGCACCATTCTAGAGAAGTCAGTGGGTTTTCTGAAGGACTGGGTTTTGCTAACACACATATAGGTCCTGTGTTTTACCTGGTGAATACAAACTGACTGTTCTTCCAGTCACAGAGTCTTGTAACTTCCTGCCAACATCTGTTATTTTCCACAGAAAGACCCCATCATAGGAAGCTTGCTCGGAGAACAGAAGACTCTTATGAAGACTGCTCAGGCCTGCATCCTTCTGCGTCAGGCACCGGTGCAACTCTGCAATCTAGAAAAAACAAATCCGTTCTCAGTCAACCCCCCTCTCCGGGCTGTTGTGCTGCAGAAGCAGCAGAATCGCTCTGGAGTCCTCATGTTTTCTGGAAGTTCTCCTTTGATTTCTTTTTAAGCGACAGTTATGTGTCAACACATAAGGCAAACAACTGGATAGATGGTTGTTTGGTCTCCCAGGCGTAATGCTGCTTTAAGAGGATCAGTCAATTAACAACTGTCTTGCTTGCTCAAAGTTTGATCACGGCAAATTCTGAGCATTCAAAACTCTCAGGAATACCTAGGTACCTAAACACAGATTTAGATAACAAATATTAGAGATCCCCATTTGAAAATTTATCCAGAACACCAAAAGAATCCTGTAGATGTGTCCAGATGTGTCTTATGTGTCCATTTTGCAGCTCAAATTCCTGTGCCCATCCCTGTCCTGACCTCTACACCAGCTCTCACTGATATCTGTAAATATTTGTTATCTATAGAACAAGCACACAACCAATGCTTATCATAACTATTTACCTTCAGTTCGAGACCTCGTATTATATTCTGATCAAGTTCACTCTGTCTCCGAAAGGCTGTGATTTCCAAGTTAGAGGTCTCCACCTCTTTGTTGAGCACTGCCACAATATTCTCGAACACATGTAGCTTATTTTCTAGCTCAGAAATCACCTTCTCCCTCACAAGCTGTTGCAGAACAGATTCATCTTCAGAAACAGAAGATCCAGGAAAACAGTCTACTTCCAGATCCCCATTGACGTCCAGCCCCCCTGGGATCTGCAGATCAGAGATGCTTTTTCCTGCACCATTCACGTTCAGCTCTGACGATGGGATGGAACCATTTGCAGCTTTGGCAGCAGTGCACAAGCTTGCCTTCAGTTGCTTTATGTGCTGCAGCAGAAGCAGCATGTGGGCCCCAACTGCACTTTTTTCATGCTCCTTTATCTTTTCTTTGCTTCCCTGTAAGAAGACGACACTGTCAATACACTCTCCGTGCAACTACCATAACCGGCCTGGGGCCAAATCAAGCAATGTTCCCTTCAAATTCTTGGGAGAGACAGAAACGGAAAAACTGCAAGATACAGGTCCAGCTACACAGCAGCCACCTCTCAGAGGAGACATGGGGAGAGGAAAACCAACAAGCGCTCTAATGATCAGTTTAGGCTATCTGTTCACATGTGTACACATGCTACATAAAAAGAAAACAATTGGCTACAATTTCTGTATTAAACAGGATGCCAGGCAGAGTCCCAGCAAGATTCTCAAATAAGCCAATGTTTAATACATATACTGTGCACAAAAGATGAGACAAGGCAACAGATGCCAACTAAAATGCAAAGAAGACCCATTACTGTTTTAAGAGGTGGGAATATGCAAAACAGAGTAGAACAGCATATCTGATAAATCAGCAGAATTAATAAACATCTATTTTTATCTGAAGTGAATGCACAGTGCAGGATACAGAGTATCACAGGCTGAACTGCACCTTACACACACTGTAACCATAGCAGTTCCAACACCACCTCTGCTGGTCTACTCAAAGTGAGCAGGCTTCCTCTCTTTTCTTAAAGATATAATTAAATCAAGGCCTACTGCCTTGAACACAATGGCTGGCTAGACCAAAGGCACAGCGCTGAGTTGTACACCATCTGAGACCTTCCCGAGGCAGCCCTTTCACTCACCTTGAATGAACAGCCGACTTCAGAAAAACGACATCCATCCTTGTTGGTTAAGGGTGTAGAGCGGAAATAATCAAATACCAGTTGAAAGGGATTATTTTATTTACCTACAAACAACTAGGCCACGATCCCAGCAGCTATAAATCAGGTTAATTCAAGACAAGGCATTACCATAGCTTACAGTGTCCAACCAGCTTTGAAAATTCATTGGTAAATCAATGAAGAGTGTGGTTGATTGCAAGTTTCTTGCACGGAGCCTGGCCGTTAAGTGTCCATCTAACAGACCCCATAATGATATCATATAATTTAACAAAGCACAGTGACCCCCTAGTAACGACTTCTCATGAATAAGATGCCAATAAGCAAAGCGGCCCACCACAGTGGATAACGCCACGCACACAGCTGCTCCAACCCTCTTCCTGCTCTTTGAGACTGCACAGAGGAGCTGCGTCATGCAGTACGTCCTGGGAATGAACGGATCTACCAGACCAAAAGCTCTGACTGACGTTCAGACTTAGTCCCCTTCACAACCAAAGCATGTCTCTTCAAATATAGTTATACAGCATATTCTTCTTCTGCTCATGAGAGTCCCCCGAACATTTGAAAGGAAAAAAACATTTCCCCATTTTTGTAAGATTAATTGAGAAGATAATTTAATAAAGTTCATTGTGGGAGTAGGGAAGAGAAGGTAGGCAGCAGAGCTATGCTGGGATGTAAAAAGCACCCAGAAACACTGCCGTATCTGAAGATGTTCTCAGATGTTCATTTAATCTAAATAAACAAGTGATACTTTTATGAATTGAAATAAAGCCGTGTGGCATTCACTCATCTTTTACCTACCTTTTCCTTTGATGGTGTTTCTGTTTGCATAAGTTTTTCTTCCTTACATAAATTGCTTTCACATGAATGTTCCTGTCATTAAAACAAGAAGAAAAGAATAAAACAAGAAGAAAAGAATTCAGTACATTATTAAAATCATAGAGCATCTTTATTTAGCAGCCTTTGAAACAAAGCTTGTGTTTGGGAATGATATTCCCATTTTACCAAAACTTGGGGATTTGGGAGGCTTTCCTACAAGAAATTCTGTGTTATGGAAGAAAAAGTTTACAGTAAGTTTCTTGCTTTCTTCCTGGAAGGTGTGGATTTAAGGAAGAGTAAAGGAAGGAAGGGTAACTTCCCCAGGAGCACTACGAGCTCCACAACACATGGTGCAAAATCCTGTACCCCTGTCCAGAGAGCGCCCGCACTGGCCCTCACTACCCAACAGGCTGCAGAGTTCTCTGGCTTCTTTTAGGAGGAAATAACATCCAGAAATTTGGGGCTAAAGCACATCTGCTGAAAGCGGGTGCTGCTGTCCCCTGTACAATGAATTGCAGACTCCGAGGTTTCTCAAAGTAAGCCTCTAAGCTGATTACTCTTATTCTCAGCCCAGCAGGCACATTCAGTGACAAATCTCCAGATGCAGTACCTGCTAAGTGGAAGTACAAAGTGTGATCTTTCGCTTATGGGGCCCAGAGCTTTTGGAAACTACTTGCAGATGCTTTGCAAGGTCACGCTGGGAAATCTGACACAAGATTGGCAATGTACAAGTCTTGCCCAGTTTAAACCATAGTTATGTGCATACGCACACACATATATACGTACACACACATATATATGCAATGGCATGCAGGTGGATTACAGAACAGAAAGCAAATATACAGGAAACCCAAATATAAATTCTTCTTTCATTGACTTCATATAGTTTGCTTAATGTGCAGACCCTTCTTGCATCCTGCTTATTAACTTTTTGAAGGCTGGAATCCAAATTTTCCATCATCATGTGCTAATGCAAAATGCATTACCGCTAACATGAGACTTCCTGCCATTTCTGGCCCCAAGAAGGGTAAAGTAATCCTCCTGCCATTGGTCCATACAACCTTAATATGTGTATTTAACACAGCAACTGTCAGTTTTCAATTCATACTGTTCAAGGGGGCTGTGTTTAATCTTTATAAACGCCTTTGCATGCCAGTACATTTCCTATAGCAGTCTAGAAATTTTTTGATAAAGCCATTGCAGAGAGCCCTGAGGTTTCTCTTTCGATCCTCAGAAATACAGCCATAGGTTTTTCTCACTCTCTAACTATTTTTTTTTAATACTCTGTATCTTAGCTGTTGCACAACATATACCTTTCTTTTCTTCCTTTCTGCTATTTGACTCCTTCAGATCACTGATTTCTTGAGGGGGAGAGGGGCTGGTGAGAAGCTTCTTTAAAATACAGAAATGCAAAACTCACAAAACCAATAACTGATTGGCTAAGATGGAGAGAGCGAGAGCAGTGCCCAAACTTACTATTTGCTCCCAGAGGATCGTGGATACATGGAATACACACAAATAATCAAAATTCTTACGCCAAGTAACTGCAAATTTAATAAAGCAGATCATGTCACCAGCAAAATTCCAATTTCACAAATACTAACTAAGGCAGGCAGAGAAAAATCAACATCTCAAGGCCAATCCCCTGCTTGGTTGCCAAGGTTTCCTAACCAAAAAATTAATTAGATGATAGCTAACCGGAATGAGTGGGAGGAAAACAGCTCTTCATTGCAGGAAAACGAGGCCCGCTAAGGTGGATCTGCGGTATCACAGACCTCTGGAGAGGGAAAGGTGCTCAGGGAACACTCACGCAGCTCAGGTTTCCTCCTCCAGCCTGCCTACTGCACTTACAGAAGGCTGAAAGGGATTAAGTGTTGCCACCTTCTGGTATTTACTGCCTCTCTGAAACATACACTGGATTTAGCCCTGGTAAAATGTGCCTGGGTCCAGATATTTTTCTCTCTCTGTAAGAGTTAGTAAGATATGAAGAGCACACGCAAAAGCCTCCCAAGAAGCATGTTTTAGCAACAGCGTCTTATTATGGGGACTGTTACCCCCATGTTGAGTAAATCGTACAGCTCAGTATTTGGAAAGGCATAAATTTGTGACAGTTACGGCACGCAAAGCTATCCACTACTATTTACTTCAGGCTAGATTTTTGAGATATTCACAACCCTCCTGCCAGGTAGGTCTTACACCACTTTGCCCCCATTCCAGGACAAAACTCCAAGGCTGGCAATTATTCTCTTTAAATCACCTGGAGGGAACAATATTTATTATGCTACACCCCAAAAGAGCGTTGTCCCAGCCACATTCTCTGTGGTAACAGAGCCCACAGGGTCAGAAGTTAGGTGGGGCTGGGATGGGAACGTTTTCAGAGCTTTCAAACCAAAACACACATAGCAGCGTTAGCAGGCGTGGGGCATCTCTCATTCATGCTGCTACTGCTTTGCTCCAGGAGTTTTTAATCACATAACGCCCTAAACAACAGACGATGCACTAGCATCATGAGGCTGAGAAGTGTGCCACTGAAGCTGTATCTTCAGCAATCTCTTCATATAAGAACAGATAATTTTCTATCGCTTTTGATCTGCCCCACCACACCATTTCCTTCTTCAGCAACACAGAAAAGTTTCTATTAGCTCACTTTGTGCCCTCAGACCACTCCCAGAATTTGCACCGTGCTGCATCTACAAAAATGGGTAAAAATAAAGAGCACCTTTTATTTAAGTTAAAATGAATGTACAAAGGTACTTAAAATCTGCAAGTCAGTGACACATAACATTGCCCTGCTATCCACAATTTTGAGCATTGACTGAGACAGTCATTGCTTTTAAGAAAGAATGGAATAGTAACACAGTTTATGTTTTGTAACATAAAAGTTTGATGATCAACTACATTCTTGTGTAAAAAAAAAAAAAAAAAGTTGTTTTAAAGAGGATTTTGAGGAAATGCTGGGGACAGACTAGTTTTACCCTGTGTGTATATAGACATACAGGGTATGTACACATACATTTTGCAAGTGCCTGTCACAACAGTGAGAAACACAACTTAAACATAAAAAATATAAATTAAATATGTTTAAATAGTCACTGAGAAATTTCTGGCAGATTCAGAGTATGCTCTTCCTGGTGTATATGGAGACTGCTTCTATCTGGAGAGTTACACCTGATCATATCTAACAGATATACTATCTGACAAAAGCTTGCCTGACAATTTTGTGAGCAGTTTTAGTTTGAATAAAACTCCAGCCACTTTCAAGATCTCTTCCTTGCCACTGTCTGTGTTCTTCTGCTTCTTACCTACCTCATACTGGGACACGTGCTTTGAGACAGGAGCTGAAACCCGGGCTGCCCAAGCCCTGGATGATCACACAGATATTTCCCTCTCTGCTCTAACACCACAAGCAGACTATCAAATACAGCTCATTTTTCTTTCCAACACATGCATGGAAAAATCAGCAAACTCAGGAAAATTAAATATTCTCCAAGTGCACTAGCATTCACGAAATCAGGATGAAAAACGTCATGATAGATTATTTAAACCATTAACATAAAGCCCTCGTTTGAGACAGAGAAATGTTCTTACTTGGTATTCACTACTGGATAAGCTCCGCTTACACTTCTGACACGTTGTCACGTTATTAACACATCCATTTTCCAAATGATCTGCAAGTTTCTTTCTCATCACCATGTGTCCACAACCGGTGTGACAAGGGATTAAAGCATATTCACATAAGCTCTGATGCTCCTGGAAGTAAAAAGTTATAAACCGAAATGTAAACTGCAGATACCCATTCTGCCAGCCTACGTCTTTGCTTTGCATTTCTCCTAAGCTCGGGTAAAGTCCCACTCCACAATGTTACCAAGATTACTGGTGAAAAAGTCACCAACTTTACTGGGGCTTTTTTGTTAATTCTTAACTTAAAATAAAAATCAAAACCCAAACAACTTTTGATAAATTCAAACATGAGGTCTCCCTTGAACGGTCTCTCTCTAGTGCTTTTCTCTGAACATAACACGATCCTGGTCCCAGGTTTTTTTTTCCTTGTCTTAGAGGATCCCTGACTTTTAGCCTGGGGGGTTTCAGGGTGTTTTTTTGGGTTTGGTTTTTTTTTTGTGGGGTTTTGGGGGTTTTTTGAGCACTGAGACCATCCTGCTCTGGCTGGTAGGATGAATGCGGTTAGTCTGCTGGCATCTCTGCATAGCATAAAAGAACGGACATCTGACACCTTCTATGCAACAATTAGGACAACCCTTACCTACATTCAAAATAACTTTTAAAACGTTTCCTTTTCACTACTTGCACCCTCTCATCTCAACAAGGGAAAATATCAGCATTACTTCTTTCATAACTACATCCAACAGATCTACTTTCAGATTCTTAAAACCACAGTATTTCAATAAAAACTATTTACTCTGACCTCTTTTACTGAAGCTTCTGTAGGCACTGTGTCACAACTGATTTTGCCTTTAAAGGAAGATGGCTGTCCCCTACAGAACAGGCTCAGAAATGCCAATTTCAATCACACGCCCAACTGTCAAATCAGTTTTGCCATGTGTTCATGCTGAGAGGGGCTCCAGTTCTCAAAACTATGAAGCTAAGCAAATTGGGTAGATTTTTCCTTAAAGAGGAATACACTCAAACAGAAAATCTGTGCAAAATTAGCAAAGAAAAGGCAGCAGCACCTCAGATGCTTATCAGATACACGGTCATACAAGGTACACAACAGACTCCCAGCTACAGGTGCAGAAAGACCCTCTGTTCCTACAGCAGGGGACCAAAACAGAGCTGCTTTAGTATCAGAATTATCGGCACTTTTTTCATTACCCTAATTTGCATGGCAGATTCACAGATCTCGCCCATTTAAATATTTTACCTGGAGCATTTCACATCAGTCTGAAAAGAATGATGAACACATTCAATCACTAGGAGTAATTTACACGGGAGGAAATTATTGCTCTTATAAAAATATACTAAGGATATTGTCCATAACAATGTTCTGGAGACGGAATTATTCTGGTCTGTTGAAAACTGCTTGTAACATCTTTGCATTTAAATAATAACTAAACTCACTGGAGAAAAAAATCATAGTTGATGTAAAATTGTGCAACATTAATTTCACAATCATTCAGGATGTTCTGGATTTGGTTAAAGCCCTACTGAAGTTATTAACATGTTTTTAGATATTCTGTTGGTATAAATCCTGATACCTTCACTGATTCTAATGAAGCTGCATTAATTCGTGTTTGCTGAGAACCTGGTTTCATTGTCTTTCTTCCCCATTCAAGTAAGAGTGCATGTTAATGTAAATAAACTGTCTTTAAACGTACTTCAAAATTTTTCATGATACCAGACCAACTGCATCCAAGGGTCACACAGTGTACTTTGAGTTCAGAAATCTCTTTATTAATGGCAGCATCACCAAAAGCCTGGAAAGTAAACACAGTAAGGAAAAAAACACTGGTCAGAAAGTACTCCGGCATGTGCTTTTGACACAGGAATAAGGTGACAGTGTCAAAATTTCAGATCTTGACAAATCCCTTATTTTTTTTAAATTCACTGTACTGCCATAAGACTCTCTAACATAGCAAGCTAATCTTGGTGTAGTAGAAGCCCAAATAATTATTAAATCATTTCTTTCTTATGGTTCAAAAATAATCTATTTGACGTGATATAAATTTACTGAAAATACGCCTAGCCAACTACAGCTATTATTTTAAGTTTCTTTTCACAGAAGCCTGAAATACGTCACATGCAATGAATGTGCTGACAGGACCCTAACTAGAGGGTGCTGCCATGTGCCACTCTTAATGAATGCATTTCATTATTGGGGTCATTAACACCTCCTAAACGTGCTGCAAAGAGGACTTGAGACTGTTCTGCAGTGAGAGTACATTTCTCAGACCCTGGCTGTTTCCATTTAGTATGGCACTGTGTACTAAAGAAATGTAAAACATATGTGAGTGGGTTTTTTTTTTGCACTACGCAGATTTTTTTATTATGTTAACCACGAAGAATTGTACAATTATTATGTAAATTATGAAATGCTACACACTTTTACCATTACATTTTGCACAATCAAAATGGGTACGCTGACACAGGAACAAGCCCTACTAAAGTTAATGGCATGTTTTTAGGCACTCTGTTGGTAAGTACACAATACAGAGGACTGCAGATTTCCCACGTAACATAACACAGAGCAAGGCAAGAACTGGGGAGGGGAAGCTTTACAAATAGAGGGAGGAAAGTATTTACAAATGATGCCTGCATTTCAATAAAGTTACTGAAATTCTACAGAATGACCTAAAAAAAATAAGCAAACAAAATCATCAGAATCAACATTCTCGATCTTTTTTACGCTAGATACAAGATGTTTGTACTTACCTACCTTGTCATATTAAATCACACAAAAGAAGCCCAGCCAATTCTACAAATGGTACCAATGAGATACATTTCTATATCCAAGGTCTCATAGAAACTCCTGTCCTAATCTCCACCTACAAGCAAAGTCCACCCCAGAAGAACCTTGCACACAAATTGCAAACAACTCCACAAACAAGGAATTAAAAAAAATCATGTAGGCTGTACACAAACACGCATTGCTCCATCTGCATATATGGAAGAGTTTCTGTAACAAGCTAGCAATCAATGTACAATTAGTGAAAGCATACCAGCCCCAGCTTCTAAAACATTCTAGTCTAATTTATGAGCAAAATCAAAGAAAAGAAATTCAAGTTATCAGGCACATAGTGGCTTTCTCCCCCTGTGTCATAAAAGAAAAACTCAAGGCATTTCCTGACATTACAAAATAGATTATATAAAACATATTTAACTACAGGGACAGTCCCAGCAGTGCATGGGCTTTGTACTGCTGTGTGCATTCCCTGTGCTTTTTGTTTCACGCTTGTAGTTGCTAAATCATTACGGACCCTACTCAGGTAAAAAACAAGGCAGGAAATCCTCATCTGTTCTTTTATCTGCACAGGTCACTGCTTCGAAATATTCACCCACACCCCCGCCCTCTATCTGGGAACCTGAGTTTGCACAGAGCTTCTTTAAGGACCTGAGTCAGACCCTCAGACAGTAAATGAGATGAGTCTCGCTGATGTAAAAGCGGTCTGGGTCAAACGGAAGGGAACAGAAAATATTTCTCTCTGATTTGATATGTTGTAGTCACACATCTCCCCTCTTTCATTTTAGCTGTTTCAAAGGAAGATGTTGGTGCAGGGGCTGCTGATGTTGATCACAGGTGGCCGTCGTGGCACACAGCGCTGCCCAGTCCTGCCCGCCCCAGAGCTGACTGTGACACAAGCGGAGGTCCCCTGCCATGTCCCACCCAAGAACCACGGCCAGACGCACTCCTCCTTAGCACCCTGACCCACGCGATCTTATGGCCTCTAGCTAAGGGAGGACTCTGGTCTACAGCTCATGTGGTCAGGAAGATCAGCTAGAAACAAGTTTAACAACTGGATCAATCTGACCAAAAGCTTTCCAGGATAAATCTAGTGGATATTTTCCCTCCAGCTAAGGTTGGCCCTCTGCAGCTGAACCAGGATCTTCAGTTGCTCTAACACAGCCAGGGAGGGGAGAGCCCCAAGTGATGCGTGCTCAGTTCAGAGCAGAGAACCGTCCCCTCCACCAGTCCCACGAAGGACAGCAGACAGGGTGTGAGCAGAGGCTTGGGAGGATGCCCCCACTCCTCTAACTGATGTCAGACAGATGCAGATGCTCGGTAACTGATACTGATAAACAGCACCATGATAAGACTCAAAGTATATGTTGTATAGGAAGGGATCATCAATTCAAAGTGTAACAGGGAAGGGATGGGAGTTAGCACAGAAATAGATCTTGGGATAAGCGAAGGCAAATACACATCCTGATAGGGCCTTTCTTTTCCTTGTGTAGGTATCTTACTTAAAATATAAACACATAAACAGAGAGCATAGGAAATAAACATTAAGCAAAACCACAGCAAAGGTAAAGCAGAGGATATCAGGAATAGATATAAAGAATAAATCTGCTAAACGATCTTCATTATTCATGTTGTTTACAAACTCTGACCATTTGTTGTAAGTTGATCTATACAGGCCTTGGTGGTGATTGACTTCATCTGGACTCTCAACAGGCACACGAATCTGCCCAGGCAGATCAGCTTGCAGGAGTGGGGCCCTGTTTACAACCACCCACCCACCCACAGATTTTGCAGAAAGTCCCGGCAGACTTAGTGAGAATCCCACAGCATAGAAATCCCAAAGTTATAAGAGAACTGACATTCAAGATAGAATAAGAAGTTCATAAGGCTTTAGCTGTACCTATTTGTGGTGACATGATGCACGAAACTCTGTTACTGGGAAATTTATTGCAGAATTGAGGATTTTTTCTGAGCTATTACCAAGTTCAGCATTACCTGCAGATTCATTATTTTGCTGCAGCCACTTCCTAAACTTTGCGTTTTACCTCACTGCCAGCTGCCTATTGGGTTTCGGTTTTCCCTAACAAATTTAGACAGCATACGTATCTCTTGGTATTCCTGCATGTAATCAGAAAGGAGGGAAAAAGACAAACTGGGACCGAGCCCTGTGGCCCAGTTAGTATTCAGGATATAGAGTAGTGCAGCAGTCTGCCTGGAAAATTGCACAACAGCAAAAGAGATCTGTGCCATTAAATTACAGATGAAACATTTGCTAGTGCATAGGTTTTATCAACTATTATGTTCAGCTCTAAGTTTTCCACTATTTACCTCCAGATACCCTGGCTGTTAAAATATCTTCTAAGCAATTCAGCTGGCTAGCCCACAATCTAGCTTTTTTTCTTACGGATGCTCCACCTGTAAGTTTGGTAACATGTTTGAAGAGTACAGAGCACCATGAGACTGGAAAATCCACTAGGATACTTACTGAGGATAGTAAGTAACAGCTAAGACATATTATCACAAATAGGAAAGTACCGGTTACTTTGAGACAATAAAAAGTTACATATATGGAGGAGTGTGGGATTTTATGTTGCAGAACCTGACAGACTTGGAAAGTCCTAAGGCTGCCATTATATTTTTTTAAATCAAAAACTGTGGGAAACCCAAACGACTAAAGCATAAGTTAAACTGTGTAACTATCAGTTGCTATCACATTTTCTATTATTTCCTCCTAAACTGTAGTCTGATGATGACTACAGAGCAGCCCAGAGAACGGCTAATGATAAATCAATGAACTGTGAACTACAACTTACCCTTTCTTCTGCCAATAGGCTTCCCTCACTTAAAGTGCTGGGATCTTCCTCTTTACATTTCTGGCAAATTGCATTTTTATTGTTTCTGGCAAAAAGAAAGAAGAATGAAATAACAATCACTTGGGGTACTGTAGTTTAGGAGGTCTTTGTATAGACACTGACACAAATAAAAACATGGAAATTATAATTTCCACTCAGAGTCCATAGTCCTTGTTCATTAAAGGGCCAATTCTTGAACACAGTGATGTCAAAAAAACCCTGCTGTTCTATTCCTCAAGACTAGGACTAGGCCCATAAATCTTATCTGTATTGCAGCAAAATAAGAGCAGCCTGGATCATAAGAAAGAATAAAGCTAGGAACCTATTTATCTATCTCATGAATTATCCAAAACCAACATGTAGGAAAGGTAACATGAAAATGAAGGTCTTTTAAAACACGGAAAATGCCCATTTTCCCAAGATAGATATACAGACTTTAAATTACAAAGATCTAGTAGAACCAGTGCAGAATTGAGTTCTAGAGACTTGACGTCCTACTGCACCTAAAAAAGGTTTTGATCTACTCTCAAAATACTTAGCATAGAGTTTTATATAGGAGAAGCGAAAAAAAACCCACTTTACTAGAGGTGCATTTCATTGCCAGTGCTGTTTAGCATCCAGGCGAATAATGAACTAACACAGACCAAGCAGCTCATCAGAAAAGCAACCATCGGACCAGAGCATAACTGATTTCAAACTGTATTAATTAGCTGGTTTGAGCCCGTTTCCCATTTGTGCTATAAGGCTCTAGTGGGAAGATGTAACAATTCCGGTTACGTTCTGCTGACATTTTTCTGAATTTACAGTTTATATTGCTTCATTAGGGGTCTTTGTTCTAGATTTACAGTAAAGGATTTACGTAAGTAGGTCAAATATATTCATTTCAACACATTTTAACATTATTATAAATTGATCTTCAAATCACAAGTGGCCAGTGCATTGCCTCAGCTTTTCAGGTGCCCCACACTGTGATCAGAGCTGGGACTGCGTGAACCGGCATACACAAACGAGCTTAGTGATAACATCCAGGAAGAAGCACAGTAACAGGCTTTCAACTTACTTAGCCAATACTAAAGCCCAGTCACTGAATCTTGACAGCTGCTGTTTTCCAAAACAGCAAAGCTAAAGTCAGCTCATATACATGGAATTGTACTGCAATTTCACCTCTCACCTGCAGGGCAGACGTAACCTTTTCCAGGGGCTCTGGATCAAGGCGTAATTGTTGAATGAAAAGGCAGGCTAGAAGCAGCTAATCAATCAAAGCAAATCCCCACCCAGCTCCTGGTTTTCAGGTTCTCCAGGACAACGGCTGTTATTGTTTGTCGCTAATGGCAGCAGCACCTTAACATGTAGTGACCCAGCTGACTTATTAAAAATAAAACTCTTAAGATAATGTTTATTAAAATTCCATAACATCACTTATTAAAGGACTGTAGTCCCATGCAAGTATTAAGTCAGCCTCGCACTAGCTCTTCAAGGTTAAATCAGTATTGTTATCTCACACTTACACACAGAAAAACTGACGTCTGTCAAGCCCAGTAGCCACCCAGCCTTCCCCACCCTGTAGACTTTCACACTGGAAACAAGAAGGAGGTAGAGAGCAGCCTGCAGTCCACCGCAGGCAAGTACTTCCAGATGTAAAGCGACTGTGGGCCAGCGGGCCAGGTAGCCACAGACTCATCTACTGAGCAGAGTGGCACGACGCAGCTCTCAGGAGTGCTTGTAGCCACAGAATCCGCCATGGCGGTGTGACCGTAGGTAGCGAGAACCTACCGTACAATCCAGGAGAGGCAGGCTGAGCAGTACCTATGCCCACAGAGCGTCTGCAGGGCTTTCTTCAGAATGTTATTGCAGTTGCTGCACAGGTACTTCTGATCAGGCACATCTTCACAAATGTTAGTGGGATATCCGAAAGGAAATTCATTTTCATCAGGAGAAGAGCCGGGGACATCCTGCAGGCCTCCGGTTGTTTTCTCAGCCATCTGAAGTAAACTACTGCCAGAGATAAGGAAACAAAAATAGGTGCTCAAACAAGCAGACACACGCTCACTTTGGTGTGAGAGAATTTATCAGGCATCAAAGTCCACGAGCAGCTCCAAACCTGTGCAGTAATCTAGTGATCTGTTTAATTGAGTCTCTAGCTGACATGCGTGACTAAATGTCACAGGGGGGTTTGACTAGGTACCAGCAGGAAATTACTGTACAGATTTAAAATTTCCCTCAAACACAACATGAAAATGGACAATATATTAAAACGAAAGGTTGGGGTTTTCTTTTCAGAGTTTTTTAGCTTGTAGAAAGATGAAGTAAATATTGCCATCATGGTAGAGCTACAATCCCATCAGTCCCCATCACACCGAATTATTTCCTGTAGAGTAAATCCCCAACCACCTTCGATTCCCAGCAGCCAAAATTCGTGATCACACTTTATAGATGCAGAAACTGAGCAATGAATGTGTTTACAGTGACTTTCCTAAGTCATAAAACTAGTGGTTGAATGAAAAAGGACATCTCAAGTCCACAAAAGGCTTTGCGCTTGTGCTCTAACCCAGTACATCTTGAGCCACACATGCCAAGGTGTCATGCACGTTCAGTATTGGTTTTGGTTAACAAGAGCTGTGCAGTTGAATATTTCTGGAAATAATACCAAAACTGACTCTAGTGTCTCCACAGTCGCTTGGAAAGTTCAGGAAAAGTTTTCACCCAGGGGCCTGGCGCAGTTTGATCGTAACAACGTCTTTATAAATCTCTTTTCCCCCCCCGTAACAGTACTGACACACAATAACCTATCTCAGTATTATAAAAAGTAACAATGACTAACAAGTCTCTAAAAAAATGGAGGCAGATCGCCTGGGCCAGGCCAGACACACAAACAGCGGCGTGCCTGCCGCGCGGTGGGTAGGGCATCCCCTGGATTTAAAACACTCCTCTTTGAACAAACAGCGTTTTCTCTCGCCTGCCTCAGACTTGGCCTCTCCAGGCATTTGACGGGGAGTTTAGCGACAAACGCAGGGGCTGCCCAACCTGACAAGAGCCATGAATTAAAGCCGGCAGCACTGGCCGCGGGTGAGGGCAGCCGGGCCGGCGGCGGGGGCTGGTACCCGGGGCAGGACGGGGCAGGGCAGCGCCTTCGGGGCTGAGGCTGGATACCGCCCGCGGGGTTTTGCCCGGGAGCCGCCCAGGCGTAAACCGCC